TGCCTATAAAATTATCGGTCAGTAGAAATGCAGGTGGCCTTATAAAAGAGGATCCACATGTACTTCTCAGCGTATATATACTCAGGAAAACAACAACATCAGAATTCATTTGAAAAACTTCACAACCAGGCAGAATATCTCATAGCCCCGGGCTCTCAATACTTCCCAGGTCAGCGGTACAGCCTCACTGGACCCTAACCGAGAGCTTTTTTCGTACGTAAGTATATAAGAAATTTTATTTGTTTTTTTTATTCACTGTTTTGACTTTAGAAGTGTGGTTCACTTCACGATTACGTTCTAAACGCGATTATTATTACATGCATGACAATATTTGCGCCATTATTACTTATACGACTTCATTTATTATAACTTTCAAGGGTTTTAAAGAATGCCAATCGCTTTACGCACTATATAAAGTTTGCAATATAACATTTGCGCGCTCTCGAAAGTGTTCCGGATTTACGATCGCTATCGGAAAAGCAGTCATTTTACCCTTATATTTCAAATCATATTAAAACTATAAAGATAGGGTTTCCCATAAGTGATACACAGTCACGCAGTTGTTTCAATTATGTTGATCACAACTGTACATATATATGTACAAGACTGTCCGTTATTTGCGAGCATTTGAATGTTTATATTTCTGCCTTGCCTCTGATCGATAAACAAGATAGTTTATCCACTTCTGGGTTATTATACAAGGTCTACGTATTTATATATGCGAGTGGTTTCATGCTCGGCGATTCTCAGAAAAGTTTTAGTTTAATTTAAAGTTCATGAGATCGACATGCGAATCGTGGCTGTCATGCATATATATATGCAAGGACAAGGCAGCTGGATTGCGTTTGGAGAAATAATTTTACATGGCAAGCTTGTTGTGTTTGCCTGTCATATATGTCAAGCAAACGTTCGCGCAATTAACCAAAGATTCGGTATTTCGCTAGTCTTGATTCCCGTCGCTATATCACTCGGAAGGGTATAATTCAACGTCGATGCCCGGCTGCCGGAATAGCAGAATTGAAGTCAAAAAACACGCCAGCAGGCTGGAGATCCAGTAAGAAAAAACCGATTCGTGATAAATGCCCACGATGAAATTATCGCTTCAAAGACATTCTCTGTATTCCAATCGACACGTTTGAAAGTATATAATTAGAGCAGTGCTAAAATAATATGCATGACTTTTTTTAACCCTAGCTTTGATAAAATACAGAACTAGGAGGCGTCCTCAGTGATAACAATCTAGTTCGATTTAATCAGCTCGTTAGGTGAATTTACATATGTGCATTGTGCCAAATGAGTTTCAATGTTCTTTCTTTAAAACCGATAATGCTCAAATTATTTTCTTGTGGTCGCAAAGATGCATGCATGCGCGCACTCTCTCCTCGATTTGCGTCCATTCGGATTATACATCATAACTTTTCTTTGTTGCATGATCAACATCATTAATCAATGTTTAAAAACAAAATTATTAATATTTCATATCAATTTGCGAAACCAGATTTCCCAAACCCTCTGGCATTGTCCTCGAGCCAAATCCAATTATCGCCCGCAAACATGAATATCGATGAAAAACATGCATGCTTTGTATAACCTCTCACTAGCGTTAATAATATATGACAAATCTTGCCGTGATGACTGCTCTTTGCTTTAAAACCATCACATCAACTTTCCAGTTAATCATTTCTATACGATTTTTACGATTTCGCATTGCGAAATTGTATTAATATGTTAATAAATTGTAAAATTAAATTGCATTAATATATACAGTACTATCTTCAATCGTGTATAACTATCTTTACTCATGTACTTATATCTTCACTCGTGTATTGCTATGTTCACTCGTGTACTACTTTGCTCACTCGTGTACCATTATATTCACTCGTGTACTACTATGTCCACTCGTGTACTACTAGTCCACTCGTGTACTACTATGTTCACTCCGTGTACAACTGTCTTCACTCGTTATATATTATTATTATTACTCGTCTACTACTATGTTCACTCGTGTACTATTATGTTCACTCGTGTACTACAATGTTCGCTCGTGTATTACTATGTTCACTCGTGTACTATTATGTTCACTCGTGTACAACTGTCTTCACTCGTCTACTACTATGTTCACTCGTCTACTACTATGTTGACTCGTCTATACTACTATGTTCACTCGTCTACTACTATGTTCACTCGTCTACTACTATGTTCACTCGTGTACTATTATGTTCACTCGTCTACTACTATGTTCACTCGTCTACTACTATGTTCACTCGTGTACTATTATGTTCACTCGTGTACTACAATGTTCGCTCGTGTATTACTATGTTCACTCGTGTACTATTATGTTCACTCGTGTACAACTGTCTTCACTCGTCTACTACTATGTTCACTCGTCTACTACTATGTTCACTCGTCTACTACTATGTTCACTCGTCTACTACTATGTTCACTCGTGTACTATTATGTTCACTCGTCTACTACTATGTTCACTCGTCTACTACTATGTTCACTCGTCTACTACTATGTTCACTCGTGTACTATTATGTTCACTCGTCTACTACAATGTTCACTCGTGTATTATGTCCACTCGTGTCTTTAGCCGACTTAGGGTCTGTTTACTGAGATAATCTCAGCGTCCCGAGATTAGGTTAAGTGTGAAATAAAATAAGTAAATAAGTCACCACGACAGTAATGTTGTCATGCTGCATACACAATAACATGTGCCTGCCTGTTTGGTTTTACGTCCGTAGGCGTTGACGTTCATGTAAACATCCCTTTGACGTTTAGTTGGCTATATGCCAAAGTAGATCATCTGCTTTGTGTATATCCTCTCATCACATCAGAAATATGTCCATCAAATACACGTTCAAAATAGACTGGAATCCTACTCAAAATTCCTAAACTTTCAAATACAGCTGTTTGAGAAATGTTTTTCACTTTTTTGTATATCAGTCATGCTACTCATGCAATTGCTGGATCAAAAAATTGACATAACTAAACATAAATTCATCCTACCCTAGCATACGACCCAAAAATTATCCAAAGTGTTTAACACACCGATATATACCTTAAAGATATATTGATAGATATACATGCACCTTATTTAATTTCTTCCTAAACCCATACAACCTGCCTAAATAATTGCTAAGCGTTGCGCCATCACGGCATAATTATATAAAAATATCTTGAGTATAGTAATGTCTGAAAATGCTTTAAATAGCCATTTTGACGAGTGGATATTATCTAACGTCTGTTCTAAGAGACGTTTTTGACAGCAGATGTTTATTGATCAGCACCTATGCAGAATATTTCTTGAACAATTATCCTTTAATTCTTTCGAAAATTCAAGCTTTTGGCCGTTATGGATGTCGCTATCAGATAATAATTAACCCTCTTTCATGCATATTTTCACCCGTTTGAAATTTTTACGTTTGTTTTTTCACAAGATAAACGTGCATGACCAAAATATAGATATAATAATGATGAGTATCCATCTAACAACGCCAACACTTTTGGAAAATAGTAGCGGTTATGACCGCACGAACATAACACGTTCAGAAATGGTCGACGCTTGAAACAGCTGGGAAGTTTACCCATGAGTGAAGGAACTATTGAAGCATTAGCTTTTTGAAACCGGGTATTAACGACTCTTCCTAAAAGCTTCCTACTCAAAATATTGCTTTTACACACATTATCTTGACCGCATTATCGTTCTTTGGTTCAATTATACTACTTTGGCTATCTTTAAACGGTCCTCGTGACGGCGTCCATTTTAAATTGCGAACGATTTCGATAAAATTCGGATAATGGATATTGGGTTTAAAAGCTCTGACTTATTTGCAAATGATATGCATAGTTTATGACACATGTCATATGTTATTGTTTTTCCTATATACCTACTAAAGTACTAGTGCTTACTGAGTGAAGACACGGAAAAAGAATATTCACAATCTTTGTACACCTTTTAAAATTTGGCGTTTAAGGTATGAGCGTATGGTAGCTATATTCTTTTGAATGTACGGTTAGTAATCTTTTAGTCATGACAAATATAAAAGTAGATGCGAGCGATTTAATTTACAGTAATATTTTCCCCATTAACTTTGTCTCAATTTGTATGTTTTTATTGTTTCAATTTGCCAATTTGTCCCATGTTTATAGTGCAGCATATAATATGGAACCTATATTTAATTTGTCCTGATGTATTGAGTTTAAAGAAATTGTCCAATTATTCCGACTGCATAGATTATCCTAATATTTCAACGCAATATAGCACAGTTTATACACTTTTTGTAGTTCTATTTCGGTTACCACAATAGAACTGGGGTTTATAATTTTATTACAGCTGTTATCATTTTGAGCAAAGTTTACAACGTCAACTAGCTTAGAACTAAAATATGGTCAAGTTTAATGAATTTCAGCTCAAAGGGAGACTACTAAGGCAAGCACTCTGCTAAAACGATATAATATTTAGGTTGATAGATAGCTATTATATTATAAGTAGTTTGAACGAAAGTTTCATTTCAGTCAATGCAAAATAGGCACTGGATCCAGCGATGTTTATAGAAAATTATGTATCTAATTTCTTGGAGGTTTTTGGTTCAATGTTATTATTTGGAACAAACAGGGTTTAACCCCGCTATACTGCTGGGAGAGTTGTGGATGGCATTATTATCTGTAAAAACAGAGTAACTCTGTTGTAACTATATATAGCTGCGTTTGTCTACACGCCACTGCGAATATGAACTCCCAAGCTTTAAATGTCAAGTTGGAGCTTTGTTTCAGAAGGGGTCCACGAACAATCCATCCTTGGGCATTGGGGTGGGAATTGTGATGCATTGCAGTTCAAGGAAATTGACTGGGGTGGGTGTGAGCGTAGAGGTGGGGTGGTGGAATTGCATGGATGAGGTATACGTACCTCTCCTAAACCAGATTTTCATGGAACTCTAATCTTTACTAATTTTCACTGTACTTCACTGTATTTACTGTTAATTGTTTTTCAAATGTAGATCCACAAATAATCCTTTCAAAGACGGAACAAACCCTGGCGAAGATGGAAAATAACACCACATCCCTAAATTCTACTGAACCGCCGACATCTATATCTGAAACGAAAATGATTCTCTCCGCAATTTTCATCTGCATTGTTATGTTGGTAACAATCATTGGCAACTCTCTAGTCATTCTTTGCGTCTTCTATTATCCTCGTCTGCGAGGTCGCACCAACTACCTGATCGTTTCTTTGGCTGTTGCTGATTGGCTGGTCGGAACCTTGTCGCTTCCATTCAAACTCGCGCAGACGGTGGATGACTATTGGGAATTTGGGGAAACTTGTTGTCAATTCTGGATTTGGGTGGACATGTTGTGCTCGGCTGCCTCGATTCTAAGTCTTATGGCGATCTCCTTCGACCGTCTGATCGCGGTTGTGGAACCTTTGAAGTACGAAGAGCGCATGCGTCCGCGTCACGTGTACGCGATGATCGCCTTCATATGGTGCTTTGCGCTTATCTGCGCGAGTTTGAGCTTAACAAAGTGGAAGGGAGTAAACGTCGTTATACCAGAACCTAGATGTTCCTTGAAGTCAAAGGAATACATAACGTTCGTTTCCATAGCAGCGTTCTTCGTTCCCCTTGCAGTTGTGCTGGTCAACTATGGGATCATCTTTCGTATAGCGATGCATCACGCATATCGACTCCAAAGGGAGACGCGTTCGTTGGCGACAAACTATCGGAACGAATCGACAGACGCCAACCACAATCCGGACACAGCAGCAAACGGCTGCCGTGAGAATAAACGATCGATATTTTCCTTTCGAAAAGCCCCCCAGAAATCGAGCGAGCGTTCCCCGACACTCTCATTGATAAAGCAACTGAAGGCCACCAAAACCCTTGCCATAGTTATCGGAGTTTTCGCGATATGCTGGTCACCGTTTTTCGTCATATTCTTGCTGTTTCAGTACAAAGAAGAGGCCTTTCTACCTCCACAGATGAGCCATAGGTCTCGTGAGATCCTCATAATCATCTTCGTAGAAGTTCTTCCGGTAGCGAACAGCGCGGCGAACCCGCTAATCTACTCGTGTTTTAACGTTGAGTTCCGCAAAGCCTTCAAACGCATCATCGCGAAAATTTTAAAGAGGAAGAAATCTTGGGACAACGCAGACACGTCATTCACTGCTGTGCCGACCAGCAACTTTCAGAGAGAACTTGACTGCTCAAGTACATGATGCCAGCGAATTGACCGTATACACACATATATCCTCTGCGAGTATAAAGTTTCGTGAGCTACTTCTCGAGGAGAGAACGTCTTGGTTCGACATACAACAGCTTAATTGTATAGCATTAATAGATATCGATCATCTAAAACACTCTTCAAGACTTCAGGCATCAATAATCTTAGACACTGCACATTTTAGGTAACTTTACTTAGGCACAGTTTACGCAAATACATCATATTTCTGTGATCACAGACACAAATGGTATGTTCAAAAAGTCCCAAAGTATTTGGTAAAAAATTTAGGGGAACTAAAACTGTGGTTTTAATCGCTGCAAATCAATGAACAACTCTGGATTTACACTCGAAATGTAAATGTTCAACTGTGAATGCAGGTCTGGAACTTTGACAGTGCAAACCAAACCTTAGCTTAGCAGTTTCTGCATGTAGTGATGAAGACGGACAAAAGGGCACTTAGCTAGAATATAACAAAAGCTGGGGACAACAACAAGATAAATAGATGACTAGAAATAATCACGATGTATTTCTGTCACGATTTCACCAAAAACATCCGTGAAAGAACTAGCTGCAACCTCCTAGATTCTGCTTTGCAAGTTATAACTATTGATGTAGAATTGTTACAGAATGTTTATGACAATGTTTATGTGTATTGTTATAATATATGAAGTACAAAAAACATGCAAAATATCCTGTCTAGAAACATAGACATACGGTCTGGTAAACGGCATGCAATTCTTGATATTATAGTTTATGGATAGTTTGTGAACCCAATTTATACGGTACTGAAAAATGTGTATGTCGGTGTCTCAACTGAGAAGTATCCTGATTTGATTCAAATGGAACAAGTTTCATTAGTTAAAGAAAAGACGAACTTAGGGCGTCGAACTTTTCATGTGCCGCCGAATCGAATGCAAACGAACTTAAACAAAGACTTTGGCTCATTAACATTAGGTTCGGCACATTATTCAAATGAAACAAGTTTCATTGGTTGAAGAAAAGACGAACTAGATTTTGATATGTATAGTCTCAGTATAGATATCACTTTTCAGATCCCAAAGTGATTGGCAGATCAAGACCCTTTTTTGCCTTTTACCAGAATTTCATCGTGTTGAATTTCGATAACTCTGAAATCTCAGGTTTACAAAATGATGAAGTTTGTTTCGCTTCATCAAAACCAACCATGATTATTATTACTTTGATAGCTTGTTAGACAGTAAATGGACTAGAATATGACTCTAATATTTCACCGACTACACATTTTCATACAAATTACATACGCGAAATGAACGAGGAAGGGACCCATGTGATTGAATGAAATATGTTCGTGTTGATATTCCCTGACCGCCAATCAGTTTAGGTCGTCAAGAAAGCATCAGCAGGTGAACTTTCACTCATCAGGTTACCTCTTGTTAGATGACTTCAGTACGTTGTAAATTTTAGCCAGGAGATTTTGCTATTCAATCGAAGTTTGTTGGCTCCATTTCCAGTATTTTCGATTTACTTACGAGTTGCTATGCAATCATTTAAATTGATGGTGTGGGTCCTTCCCTCCCCCTCCTTGCCCTTGCTACTAATGGCAATAGGAGAAAACTGCCCTCTGCCCCAATACCGATTCACTCGGACCAAACAGTTCCTGTTGCGAAAAATGAAAAATTCGATCTTTCAGCAAAAATCAAACCTACACTTTAACGATTCCGGGAAGGCACTCTCACCTCTTTATATGTAGCTGTGACTTGTGAGAAAAGGCGAAAATTATAGTAATGTTTTGATGGAGAGGTTCCCCCGGTCCCATTTCGAGGCTCCCATTGTACCCCCCCCCCAATCTAGCGTGCTGGCCTCTCCCCCTGTCGCTGCCCTCACTTCCCGCGAAATCCCGCCACATGCAGGCCAGTAAAAGTGCTTTCGAACAATTTCACGTCGAAATATTAGCGAAGTCATGTCTTCCTCGAAGATTTCGTTGGACAAGGAAGCGTTTTTTCGACGCGCCAAGAAAATATACAGCGCTTGGAAGGTATATTTGAACACCGGACATTATTTGGGCATGGATTTCGTGTGGTTTCGCCACGAATGGATTGTGCTTTTCAAATTTTTCTTGGCCATGTTGACACTGTTATTTTGTCTTCTTTCTCATTATGTGCGACAAGGCTTCGTCCTCGGAGAACGGGGCATCGTTTAGCGAAGTGGATTCGATCGTCGTTGCTGTTGGAAACGATGAAGATGTTATTTACAGCAAATCGACAGCTTTACATGTGAGTTTTCTTGCCACACGAAGCAAAACGATGCGGTTTTATAACTTGAGATAGCCATAAAACCTGATACCTTGAAACTTGAAAGCATGTATCTGTGATCAGCGACGTTTGATGCGAATAATTGCGTGCTAAAGTGTTTTATTTAGTGCGCGTAGTGCTTGATCTTTGCTGTTCCGCCTGGTAAAGATACATGCTGTTTTGGTAGTGTGCAGATTTACAATTTTCAATGCAAACTGGTAAACTATTGATAAGACATGCACGTGGTAGCCATGGATTCTTCCATGTCAACTAGGAAAAAGGGGGTGAGATAGAGGTAATCGTATGCCTTTTGAAACAGTTCAAAAACTCAATGTATTTCACTTGAAAGCCTTCATCTAAGTTCAAAGGCTACTGAAGCTCTTTGATGAAGGCTCTTGTGGAAACCTTGAAAAATTTCCTTGCAAGTGGTAGACCCATTTTGTGTGAATACCAGATGTGTGATGTTCAAGTCTGGTCATGCAGTCCAATTTTGTCTGTTCCAATTCACTTGTGATGGATGTTTTATAGCCTGTTGACTATGCAATGTAATGAATGTATATGAGCTGCAAATCAACTAAAGCCAATTCAGTACTGCTTTATTAGTAAAAGACTACATCCTATACATCAGAAGTGAATTGAGCCAATAAGCAAGTCATGTTAGTCAAGCAGCAAGCTTTTCTCTGATTCTACGATATAAGTTTTCCATGTAACATTTTGTTGTTTCTTTTAGCAATGGCTGTTTGGTTATGAGCTAACAGACACACTGATGGTGTTTGCGGAGTCATCTCTTGCAGTTCTCGCAAGCAAAAAGAAAATCGATTTCCTCAAGCCACTGCAAGAAGCACAAAAGAAACATGAAGGATTTCCTTCAATAAATCTGCTTCTGAGAGACAAGGTAAAATAATATACAAGTTCACATGACAGTGATGGTACAAAAAACAGTCAAAATCATGCCTGGTTTTATTTGTCAATTGTTTCTGAATTCTGAAATAAATTTAAGCCCACATTATTCCTATTTGAAATATCAGTTCATTCTTATGATCAGGGAATAACCAATTGACCTTTATGTATGTCTAATACTGTAGGTTGACAAAGATAAAACCAATATCCAGAAACTTATCGAGATCATCAAGGAAAGCAAAAAGGTATTTTTTCAGCTTTTATGCTCAGGGGAAACTGTCTTTGTTCAAAGCTAATTGTTAATTGAGTTCGGGGTTTTGGAGTTAGCTGGCCTTGGACCGTAACATAGACTTGTCTAATGCTAACTGATTTTGCTTGTGGTCAGGCATGTTTGTTAGTTTATGATTAAAAAATTGATCTCCCATTGTAAAATGTTGCAGGGCAAGAATGTTGGAGTTTTTCAAAAGGATAATTTTCGCAGTGAATTTATCGACACTTGGAGTAACAGTTTCAAGAAGAACTCATTTGAAAAGGTATCAAATGTAGCCCCCGACATAGGTTAAGTTTCCTGTGAGTTTCTCTGATGTTTTGGGCATCAGCACTGACTTGAGATATTTATGAAGCCAACTGGATATATGCTGATAGTACTGATCTTCAAATAAACTGGATAATGCACTAATTGTACATCACTTGTGTTTCCTTTTCAGGTTGACATAAGTGCCCACATAGCATATGCCATGGCCGCAAAGGAAGATACTGAATTGAGTCATGTGAGGGTAAGGAATATACAGCAGATATATTCCATACAACTGAAGGTCATACAAAGCACTTTGGCATATTGATAAGTAAATTGCAATTCGAATCCGGTCTTGGGGCTTCTCTTGAAAGATCACTAAGGTCTATCAAAACATAGAATCCTGTTAAATGTAATAATATTCTTGTATGTTTGCATGGTGACATCAATAAGTAAACTAGCTTGTAGGTACACCATGTAGTATTTAATACTTTAATAATGTGTTTAAATTCAATGAATTTCCTAGAAAGCTGCTTTGGTGTCATCAGATATTTTCAGCAAGTTCTTCAAAGCTCATATTATGGAGATTGTTGATCAGGAAAAGGTTGGTTATATATATGTAAAGTATCAATGAAATTTCATTGAAAACATAGCTTTAATTAAAACAAGTTCATACTATGATGAAAATATTCAACCCTCTGTTTAACCATTTTAAATCAATTCTTAAAATGTCAAAATATGGTTTATTTAATTCGAAATACATCATAATAAAATATTTCCATCATTCCTGTGTCTTCTCACAGCGAGTAAAGCATTCAAAAATTGCGGACAATCTTGAGGCAGCTTTGGACTCAAAGAAATATCTCCTTGGTGGTATGGATTCTGAGCAGACGGAAATGTGTTTCAGCCCAATCATACAAAGTGGTGAAACGTTTAGCCTCAAGTTCAGTGCAACAAGGTTTGTAGCTACTTTTTCAAATGCAAATCTTAGCAATATAGCTGCAATTTTTACCTGAAGCATAATTGATCCTTTTCTCTGCCTTCAAGGCACTTTAACTCCTTAAAATAACGAGAAAATCAGGAAATGAATGATAATGAAATAACAAAGGATGATATAATAAATAGAATGAAAACTACATTTGGGTTCACCATGCACAATCATAAGTTTCAATACTTCACTAAAAATATATATTATTACGTTCTAATATAACCAGGGAGCAGCGTGCCAGATTCAAACAATATTTCGCATCAAATGTGGTGTAACAACTGCCTAAAATTGAGAAAACAACTTCTCAACTTTTTGACCTTTAGAAGGGTCGAAATGTCGATAATTGTTTTGACTTCACTTTGTGGTTCAGTGTTTCTCGTAGGTAATTTAGCACGTTCTTCCTACATTCACATTTCTAGCAATGACGATCGTCTGGACTATGGCGTGATCATATGTACCTTTGGCGTACGCTATAAATATTACTGCAGCAGCATTATCAGAACGATGTTGGTGCAGCCGACGGAGGTTTGCAAATTTTTCTTTTAAGCTACACTGTCATTTCAACCCTGGTGACTGGAATAAACATGCATGTAGTCACGAAATGATTTACGTATTATGCTACGGTTTTATATGTGATGTACTAAAGCAGAACTGACGTTTTGACACAGTCGACAGACTTGAATTCAACCTCAGGGTTGGAAATGCTGTAATACAGACTCAATATACCCACTGTTCAATTATCTACAATTGCACTGGCTCTAGGAGCAGCAAGAAAACTACAATATATTACTGTCGACGCTCGACGCGGTTATCGAGAAGTTAAAAGATGGTGTTTTGCTATCTGATGTGTACAACGCTGCCTTGAATCATGTCAAAGAAAAGAAGTCTGAACTCCAGGGAAATTTTGTGAAAAGTATCGGGTATGTTGTGTCGATTTTTGTACAAACATACTTGATTCAATAATTCTCAAACTTTATGCTTCTGCCAGTAAAGATTTTGGTAGATTTTCGATCTTATTTTGCACTATATTCTCGCAAAAAGTGGTCACTTTTATTCAAATCGCTGAATAACGATGAATCTTGTTTGTGCTCTATGCTCATTGTCTCTTCTTGTAGTTTTGCAACTGGGATTGAATTCCGTGAAGGATCTTTGATGATCAATGCGAAGTCGAACCACAAGGCTCAAAAAGGTCTACATTACTATCACAATTCTACGATAGATAATATTGCTTCAAATGCAAATTGTCGTGGGAAAATGACGATTAAACAAGATATGTATCTTGATAATACAATATACAACAATTCAAGACACGACGTAAGCTAAAAGTACACATTTCCAACTTTATTTCAAAGTTATCTTCACACCAGGCGAAGATGACTTCAAAATGAGTCGACGTTTTCCTCCAGTTCAGACCTGTATTGTAGCTACATTCTATTGTGTTTTAGCCCGCAATCATCTTTATGACGTCTGAAAAATAAAACCTCCTCTTTCCTGTGACACTTTAGGCATGGTTTTCTGCGCGAGTGTCGGTTTTTCCGGGTTGGTGAAAAAAAGCGAAGATTCAAAAAAAGACAAACAATATGCGTTGTTCATTGGGGACACGCTGCTGGTTAATGAGGTACACGTATGGACGTTTTGTTGTGATGTACAGAACAGATAAACAGACAGACACTAACACCATTTTTGTGCTGATTTGAAAATTTAGAATGGCCCAGCAACTTTGCTCACTCCGGCTAAAAAGAAGATCAATAATATTGGAATATTCTTAAAGGTATAATAGCGTGTTGTAACGAAAAAGGCAATAGTTGTGTTAAGATTTAAAATGATTGTACTTGTTGACAAAAGTATTATCTTTTCTAGGATGAAGACGAACAAGAAGACTCGGATAATGTCGATGTAAGTTCTCTGTGTATTCTACTAGAACTTGGTGATTGCATATTTCTTTGACGTTTAAGCAATCTTATCAACTATGGTTTGTGGCATGAGAGACACAGTCGATTACCATTGATTCAAATCTAGTTCAAATCTGACCATTCATAGGATGAAGATTTGCTTCGAAGCGCCGAAGGAAAGTCTAAATTGTTAGAAAACAGAACGAGGGTATGAATGCAAATAAATACTTTGAAGATCCAATCTCCGTTACTTGATGTATCGGTCTTGGTAATTTCCAATCATAAACGTGCATCTAATATCTTTATTGCTCTTCGTGAACAGACAGAGTTGACTTCTGAGGACAAGCGAAAGGCTCATCAGCAGGAACTGAGAGAACAACTACACGAGGAAGCCAAAAGACGGTTGCTCGAAGCTCAAGGAAAAGCACCCGAGAAAAAGTACGTCGATTCTTATTTGTTTTGAAATTTTACCATTAAACATACGTCTTCCACGAAGGATGCTTCGTTGGTAAAATTGGTTCACATTGATACCGAATGCTGAGAGTTCTCGTTCGCATCTGTACCAAAATACTCGCATGTAGATTCAATAAATAGCTCGTTTTAACCTGAGTTGTTGGTTTACTTTTCTAGAATTAAAGTGTCGAATATCGCGTACAAACACAACTCGCTTCTTCCGCGAGAGAAAGAAGTTCGCGAGTTAAAAATATTTGTTGGTAAGTTCCCGAGTTTGAGGGTGCATCGACTTTTTATTTATAAATTGAATTTGCAACGGTTCAGCTGTTTTTATGGCCAGGATTTATAATACAAACAGTAAAGTCTGAGTGCATTATCAATACCCAAATTTGCCTAGCTGGTTTAAGCAGATCGAGGCCTTTCAAAAGTCGCTTATCGTTCTTAAAATTCCCCCGTTTGCAGATAAAAAATACGAAGCAATCATTTTACCAGTGTTTGGAATCGCAACGCCTTTTCACATCTCTACTGTCAAGGTAAACTATGGTTCGATTGTGTTATATTTGTGAAGGTGAATCTGGTTTTGAAGCTTTTGTGTTTATTTTTCGCGGCAGAATATCAGCACGAGTGTCGAAGGAGACTACACATATCTTCGAATAAACTTCTTTAGTCCCGGAAGGTAAGCCAATTGTCATTCCGTAGTTTACTTGGAGCCAGTTTCAAATTGTTCGTCATGTTTTTTTTTACTTTCCTTTTAGCGCTTTGGCTCGACCTGACTTGAATAACTTCGCCGAACCTGATTCGACTTTCCTAAAGGAGGTGTAAGTGTTACTCTTGATAACCCTGAAGTATTTTCATGTTTGTCCAGTGTCTTATTGCGATCTGTGACGCATACGCGTTTGTTATGATGATATATGTGGCGTGATGTAAAATAAAAGAATGCTACAATTCCAGGACATATCGTAGCTCGATGCAAAGGACCTCGGGGCAAGCCGTCGCCTCGTCGGCAAATCTCAACAACGCTTTTCGCTTCATCAAAGAAGTGCAAAAGAAATTCAAAACTCGCGAAGCGGAAGAAAAGGAAAAAGAGGTAGAAAAATTTCCCTACTCAAGGGGTGAATATACAATTTTGCCTTTAATCAAATTTGTAATTCGCTGCCTTTTTAGGGTATCGTCAAACAAGACGCTTTGGTGATTAACGCGAGCAAAAATAACCCAAAATTAAAAGATCTTTATACTCGACCGACGTTAGGGACAAGACGAATACCGGTGCGTCAAGTTATTTTTTGACCTTACAAAACTAACTCACCCGAATATTCGTACCACCAGTAAGATTGACTTTAGTGTACGAACCTTGTAATTCTTACCCCTCGAATCCGTCAACTCTATCTAACTTCTCGTGTGTTAATTCATTTTTGATTAAAAGCCTTTTCCGCGCGCGGTGTTATGCCTAGATGAGGTTTTTCCCACGCGCAACGTTCTTTCGTCACGAAAATGTTCTTTTCTCACGAAAATATTCTTTTTCCCGTGGAAAACGTTCTAATTGAGGTCTTCCCACGCTTGCGACAATTTTCATTCAGTTTTGCGACATTTTTCTTTGCAACACTTTTCGAATGCTTTTGTTACATTTTGGAATATTCCAAAGTGAAAAATTGTTGCTTTGTCTTGTTCTAAAGAACAAATTCGGGCTTTTTGACGTTTTTGCAATTCGTTTTATAGGGGACGTTAGAGGCGCACACGAATGGTAAGATTTTTATATTTCAGACGTTTTAATGAATTAAAGGGGAAGATTAGAGACACAAAATAAAGCAATATTCTATCATTTTTATTATCGCTAATTAATTTATACCAGCAGTCTTAAATTCCCTGGCAGAAATTGGTCTAAAGACGATATTTGAATGAGTCCATTTGCCTTCAACCCTCTAACTGCCAGTTTTCACTACAATTATACGTTGGTGTCAATTGTTTACAAAAGAGAGGGAAAATCGACACGTGTTGTTTAAATCCCAGGATAAATTATGTCTATCATTTATTCTGCTACATAACAACATACATCTATGTATGTTACACTGGATGGTTTATAAATATGTTTGAAATTGTCTCGTCTATTTTACTGGAGACAAAACCTAAACAGTAAAACCAACTTTACACAGAATGCTTCAAGAGTCTTGAACTATTTTTCCGATACATATTTCACTATAAAGGATGATTATTTGTTTCATTCCCGCCAATGACAAAATGAAACGCACAAAAATCATTGTGCGACTTCGTTTTAATGTTTCCGCTTTTGTTTAGGTTTTCGTTTTCAATCTGTTAACGGAGAACGAGTCGATATTTTGTACGGAAACATTAAACACGCTTTCTTTCAGGTATGCGTCTCGTGCTGTAGGATTTTCTTGAAGAAGGATAACATCATCGCTGATATACGTTTTATATTTGTTTTAGCCTTGTGATCACGAAATGATTATACTTATACATTTTCATCTAAAAGTAAGTTGACCGCCACATATCAACCTACATAGCTCTCAAAGCCCTGGTAGAAGCTGGTGAAGTGTTCCTGCATACAGACAGACTTTAATGCCAACTTACTTCCTTCTCGCTGTAAGGAAACAAATTGTCTGGGAAGTGTCTCATACTGCCCCGAAATGATCTTACCGAAATGTTTTTCTCCTCCAAACCGTATGATCAAACCGACATGCGATCGCATCAATTTTTCTTGTAGAACGCGATTCTTATTGGCAAAAAGAAGTATCGCGATATACAATACTATACCGAGGTAGGTAAATGAAACGAAGTGCCAGTCGCCCCATCCACAAACCCCAACTATGGTAGCGTACGTTTAAATGAGTTCCCCGGATTATCGATGCGAGTCACGAGGTAGTGCATCCCGTGTTCTCGACAACTGTATATAAATTTGTGATGGTGCTACCATCGGGGACAAGCTGAAAAATTACCCTGACCATGGTATGAATTGTACTCGCGACCTTTGCTTTGGCTAGTCAGTGCACCTCCCACTGAGCACTAAGCACTATGTCAAGACAGTTTGAATATTAGTACCGCGGTGCTAGAGCCATACACGCAGTCATTATAACGGTATATCTTCGCTGGCATTATGATGAAAAAAACGTTGGTTTATCTACAGGTGGGAGAAATAACCACGGATTTGGGGAAAAACCAACATATGCACGACAGAGATGATTTACAAGCTGAGCAGGTTGGTTAAACAAGTTATACCAGTATTATCTTAATTGAAATAGACTGCATGGTATTATGTATGGGCAGGGCAGCAAATTCAGTATTGCTTTATGGAAAATACGCTACATCTCATACGTCAGAAGTGAATTGGATCCAACAAAATTGGATCGTGTGAACAGACCTTTATTGGTGTATAGATAGTGTCGGTCATGGGGTAACAGGCGTTTTTGGCTGCTAGCTTTTTATGTGAAATATTTTACAGGCTGAACGGGAACTTCGACAGCGGTTAAAAGCGGCGTTTAAATATTTTATCGACCGAGTAGAAGGCATTACACACGGTCAAGTTGAATTCGACGTTCCTTTCAGAGAACTTGGGTATGCATTGTAGTAATAGTAAACTTTATGTTTTCTACAAACTTTTCCACCCCCTTTTCCCAAACCCCCCCCTGCCTTCTTTGCGGCACAGACAGGGGGCCAACCCCCCCCCCTGCCTTCTTTGCAGCACAGACAGGGGGGCAACTTTAGACTGGAGTACCGCCTTATAATGTCTTCAATCGTCAAATACTAAGCTTGTAGTATTATCTCAGGTTCGTTGGAGTTCCATTCAGAAGCACAGTTCTACTCCAACCAACCACGCATTGTCTGGTCATGCTGACGGAACAGCCGGTCTTTGTAATAACTCTGGATGAAGTGGAACTAGTTCATTTTGAAAGAGTTCAGGTGAGAAAAATACACTCATTAAATAAATGACTTGTTGTAACTGTAGAAAATTACTTGAAATTTTTCACGGGTTCATTGAGTGAGATTTTCATACTAGTTTTGCTCAGAGAATGGGCTTAACTTTGTGGGAGAGAGTTAGTAACTATATATGCATGGGTTTGGTAACTGCAATATTGGCCATAGTTTGTTGTCTGTATAATTAAAGCCATTCCTAGCAATATAACAATTGCTAGGGAAATTAGGACAATATTGCAATTAGGGAAAAAATGATGGACGGGCACGCCTTTGGGTCACTCATATCAAAAGATCTACTTAATTTATCAAACGCAAGGTCAATATTGTAGTGCTGGGGTGGATTTAATCAAGAAGCTTTACTTGATTTCATTGGGAAATTCTTGTGAGAGTATACAAATTTTGAATGTATGGAAAGATGTTGTCTTTTGGTAGCTTCGTATTGCACAACCCCTATACTTACTATATGAATTTCCTCATTTACAATTGTTAAATGAAACTTCGCATCAAGGAAAGTGTAAGTAATCAGACTTCCGTCTCAAATTCGAAAGGAACTCAGCCCTCTATAAGGAACTCGGCACTACGGCAGTTGTTGAGATCGTCAAATCCGACAGGATGTCTGAGGTCTTTTGAAAAAAAAAACAGTGTCTTTGCATGAAACTTCGAAGTTTTGGAGGAATTTGTATCACGTATGCAACGTGTCAGTTTATCGTCTTTTGATAAATGCAAACGAGCGAATACCTAAGAAGTGCTCTGATGTCTAGGTGCATTTATCTGAACATTCATAACTTGTCCACTCGTTCTCATCTATCAGAAGAGGAAAATCGCACAGGAACTGCAAGTGTTAACGGACCGTAAATTAAATTCAGCACAAATTGACACCAACGAGTTGCTTGCTCCGAAACTTTGAACTAGTTAAAGAAATACCTTAGTTGCTCGTATTTTGAGAAATTATTTTTCAAATATTCGGATATAGATTTTCCTTTTCGTCGTGGGAAGGGTGGTGTATACCGGAAACGTAAAGTCCTTCAAACTAAAGATCTTTGATGAGGCTCTTCACTCTCCTTTGCAAAGTAGAAAAACAAAACTCTTTGGATGAAGTGTGTTGCATTGATTAAGGCTTTTGTATTTCCGCCTCAAAAAGATTAAAATTTCGGTCTTCTGAGAAGCAGAGAAATATTTCGTTTCTGTATTTGTTTAGTTTCATCTGAAGAATTTCGACATGGTGTTCATTTTCAAAGAATACACGCGTAAAGTCGAACACGTGAACTCCATTCCGATGACATCGTTGGACTCTGTTAAAGAGTGGTTAAAGTATGTACCTCCCTCCCCCCCGGGGAGGCCCCCCCCCGTCAATTGCCACCGGATGAATTTCGTCCGGATAAACCATTAATCTGGTTGACGTGTTTCAAACCATGATGACGAAACCATATATGATGATTGGTGAAACCAATATCACATCGGGAACTTGTTGTACGAAAGCACTGTCTACCAGATAGTAGCTTTTCAACCCTTGTAAAAATGCTTGAAAACATTGAAACTACAGATTTTGCGCTAGCCTGAGTCCCCGAACGTTGAGAAACGGTGCCATATCTCAGCTCTTCCAACCCTCGAACTGCCAATTTTCACTATATCCTTGCTAGTGTCAACTGTTTCTCACCAGCGAGGGAAAATAAAGAAAAGAGCGCTGTTTAAATCCCAGAATGATTGCTGGCTATCATTTCTTCTGCTACATAACAACGCACATGTGCTTCCCAGTCCCCGAACGCTGAAAGCCAGACTTACGCTTGTATTCAAAAAGCTCACTCACACTCACACTCATGGAGTGTGACATATGAATTTTGTTAATGCTGATCAATGAGAAAGTTTTTTCTGAATAGATGGAAAGATATAAGGTAAATCACTGAAAATCAAGCCCCTGTTCGGCTGGAAATACCGCCATTGAAACTTTATGAGAAGATTAAGATCTCCCACTCAATGAGTTTGAGTGTGAGTGAGCTTTTAGAATACAGGCGTTAGTATCAGAAAAACTCAAATAAGTTCTGCCTTCCATTTTTGCAGTTCGTGTGATATAAAATATACCGAAGGCGTGCAGAGCTTAAACTGGGCAAGAATTATGAAAACAATCACGAACGACCCCCAGGATTTCATAGAAAATGGTGGCTGGAGTTTCCTCGAACCTGACAGCAGTGTAAGACTCTCTAAATTTGCTAATTTTAAAGTAAATATATTTTTTGACACTTTCGAGATAATTCCTTCGTAGGAAGAAGAACAGGAAGACGAAGACGATGAAGAGAGCGAGTACGCTCCGAGTGGTTCCGATGCGGTCGAGGACGAAAGCGAGGAGAGTGAATTGTCTGGGGAGACTGAAGAGAGCGAAGAGGACTCTGGTAGGTTTTCCACACTGGCACTAATTAAGAAATAGAAAACATTTTCCGTGTTCCTATACAGTTATAGAAACACGCTTCTCGAAACTCCAAGCCAAATGTTGAGCAATCTTTCAATATATTTATCACACGATCAACAGAATTTGAAGAAGAGCTTGGATCAGACGAGGAAAGTGGAAAGGATTGGTCAGAACTGGAAGAAGAGGCGACAAAAGGTTCGTCCAAGATCTTACCGACAGTTGAGGCCTGCATTTTGATTTACCAAATTAGCCGGGCGATATTTTTAACATTTTTACATTTTGCAACGTAGCTTCGTTGCCTTCACCTTGAGATGCTCTATCTTTAGCTGTTGTAATATTTGAGTGTGCTGTCCCTCTTGTGTTCCGAAATATAGCTGGGTGAATTCATTGCACGGCCCTGTACAGCGCCTAAATATTTCATATATTTAAACCTTAGCCGACAAGGAAAGAGCGCCACCCGCTGAGGAATCGAACTTGTCACGGAAACGAAAGAAATCCGGACAGAAACAAGACACGCCGAACAAGAAAAAAAGACGCAAATAAAAAAATGCCAAAAAGGACAAAACTGTTGCGAGACGCAGGTATTTGTAAATACGGAACAAATTAAACAAAACGCGCATGGTCACAACTGGATTTTTTTGTTAAAGCGTTTCTCTAGTTTCTCAGGAAACTTCAGGCAATGGAACAAGTCGGGTCAGACATTATAGATCATTGTAGCTAGAGAAATACGGGAGAAACTCATTGTTCGACTTACGTAAAGTTTCATAAAGAATACAGAAAGATTATACAGCAGGCGGTCCTGGAGACGGAACCTTTTAGGTTGATATCGTAATGCCAGTCATTGTTCGTGTGTGGCGCTGCTGTTTCCGTTCACTACACTGTGTTTTTGTGCTAGTTTATGGAGATTTATGCAGGATAAAAATGCTGTTCATGCACGTCGCCTGTTCGGGCAGGTCGTCGTTACGTGTCGGAACATTCGTCTCCAAATATGCAATATATCATCGTCTCATTTGGTGCATGCATGGGGAAGACAATAAAGCGTTGGCGTGTGTAGCCTTTGACAAGCAGTACAAGCATAGGATTATGTAAACTCGGTTAGTTGCCTTGAACTTGCAAGGTAATGTGTTATTGCCATATTGGCCAAGGCTAATGATTGATAACCTACACATGCCACAATTCCACTACGTTTTTACTGTTTGGAAGAAAAAGCAATTTCACAACAGTTTGAAAGAGTTATATATAACCCTAATTTAGTACGCAGTTTGATTGCGAAATATAGTCGGTGAAAAATACACGGAAATATGCATGAAAATGCGGAAAATATAGTCCTATACAGTTGCTAATTTCTACGTGCAAATTTTTGTGCAATTTTCGAGACTCGGAAGTGATTTCCTGTGCGTGAGGCAAACGTGATGAAGTAACACGGATACATTTTCCGTAATTCGCTTTGAACTTTCAAATTTTGCTTAAAATTTTTACTAAAATTTCTTTTATTTAATGTGTAGTTCAGTATTGTAGACTTGTAGTTAATTTACCTGGTTTAAAACTTTGTTTGATGCAACTCCTTTTGAGGATAACCAACTCCTTTGAAGGATATGAGAATCTTACATACCATAGTCTGTGGATTTTATCTTTAGAAAGCTGGGAAGCGATTTAGTTGCTCTAAGTATAAAGCGACTATCTTTAGCTCACTGAACATTTTTGAGGATTTTAATGATGATTGATAATTTTAGGTGAATTGCGGTAAAATCCTCACTCGTGTTTACTTACACACAAAAACACTACACTCAACCTCTTGGCATGATACGGTTATCCGTTACCATGCAATCACATCCGCCGGTGTTCGACTTTGTACGATATGTACCCATTTTAGGTAAGTGTAGTGTAGTGTTATAGTTTTTATAAAACAAACCGCAAAATTCAACCTCAAGGCTCGAAATCATCGACTGAAAAAAGTGATCGAAATTTTGAACTAATCACCAATAAACAGCTGAATTTTCGTGAATTCTTAGAAAACTGTTCGGATAATCAAGTGTGATCAGATGAGATGGTCTCTGCATGATCAGACCATGTTTCATCTGAATTGGACGTCACCGATGATTGTACCGCAGCTGAGGTTATAACTTATATATACTAAATATGTGGAGATAAAAATAGAAATGATGGTGTTTTACACGTATAACTATACATGTAAAACTCACCCACTCGTACGTATTCGGAAGGGAAACGACCATGCGGCATGCGTCCTTCACGCATGTTGCCTCACCAGTGGTATCACCTATTAAGAACAACTTGTTGAAATTACAACTTAATATATATATACGGAGACCACGCGGGGTTAAAAATAATGATGGCTAAACCTATTGTTCCCTGCATGCATGCATGTGTTTAAAATTCACCCACTCGCTTTGAAATAGAAACCCCATTACCTATATATATACGTATGCATGGTTTCAAAATTTAGATATGTGCTTGTGCTTCACTTATTTACAGTACACGTACTCGCAAAAGTACACGCACATATTTACCCACACGAGTTTTGCGCTGCAGGTAAAACAACTTAATGAATTTAAAAAACATTAGCTGGTTCATGCAAGTTTATTATCATCCCATATAAACTCTGTCTTTAAAGTCGCCTGTATTATAAGCAGTAAGTTGGGGCCGGTTGTGTCAAGCCCGTTTAGCCTAAACGGTGGATAAGTTCAAAATAGAAAGCAAGTCTATCGTTTTATTCAACAAGCAAACTAAATGTTTTCAACCTTAATACAAAGATACTGCTTACAACTACATATTCAGTGCATAATATTCAAGTTGACTCATTCAAGAGAGATGTAAGAGTGTTATTTAATTTTGACTTATCCGCCGTTTAAGCTAAACGGGCTTGATACAACCGGCCCCTGATAGTGATACTGATAGTTTAGAATTTTTTTTAAATATTTTTCAAATACATGCATGCAATGTTTTTTTGTATAAAATGGGTATTATATACAGACTACAGTGTCGTTTCAGGTTGTGCCTTCAAAAAGACTATAATTTATAGTATTTTAGAAAGATTAAAAGAAACGGTACTTTCGCCGAGTGTATGTAAAATAAATGGTCGTTGCACAGCCAGACCAGCCACTGCATGAGACACCGTTCATCAAATAATTGTGGTTAAACTAACAGTCTATTTTCTTGTTTGCCTGTTAACTTCAGTTCTTACCAATGCGACTACTTTAGACTGTAAGATAGTATATAGTTTGATTATAAATGTATAAAACGTGCATTTTGCAAAGTATATTATATTCGATGTTCAAATTATGCTAGATGCCAACAACTGCGTGGCAGAAATAATCCAAATTTTTGCACACAATAGTCAAGTAATTATACCTTTAATGAGACGAGTCGATTATTCGAGAATTCATCAAAAAGGCTGAGGCTCTTGTTTGTGGTAATTCAAGTGTAATATCTTTTTCCTGTTTGTTTAAAATCGGGCAGTGCTCCATAAATGGTTATTCAGAATTTGCTCTCTCAAAGACTTTAAGATTATATTCAAATTTTAGCTTCCTATATTGCAAGGGGGTCAAGGTTACCTAGAAACGTCTGACAAGAGAAATATGTTAAAGTCATGGGCTTTATCGAATGCAAAAAAAAATTACACAAAATTGTATTACACGTTTATTTACAGGAGGTACACTTTATACAAGTCTGCACTATAATTACACAGAGGTCTGTTGATATTAAATCGATTTCTGTTTTTGCCCGTTCGTTCGTATACATTGAAAATTAAAAGTTTATTTACATTATTGGGTAAAATAACAACTAGAATGGCTATGTACACTTTAGATACGTGTAAATTTAATAATTTGGTATGCTAATTACGGCTTAAATATTGCTATGCAATATAAGCTTGAATGGGCATACGATGAAAAAGCACCGTGATTTCAAATCGGTTTAAACACGTTTTCCTAAACAACTTTTAGTTTATGATGTTTTCAATACCACGAGGCGTTTTGATGGCAAACGTATCTAAAAATTATATCGTTCACACTCGAGCCATAGCCAGACAATGTCCTCTTATTTGATTATGACAAAGCCTTCTCGCAATGCCTCCAGAGTGACTTAACAGAATTCCTTTCTAATCAGTGGTTTTGGTGAAGGAATCTGTGGTACAGCATATTCTGGAGTACCCAGGATATAATTTGAAATCTTTTTTTCTTCGCTAGGCCATTGAAAGGACATAAAGTACTTCAAAGGCACGATCAATGTGGAATAGTCGTTCCCGGGTAGTAAAAGTGGAATATATTTTCCCTTTGGGTTCCTACAGATGTTGTCATAGATTCTTCCAGTGACTAGAAAATCCATCGTGAACTTTAGGTTATACTCCATTTGGTTTTCGAATTGAGGCATTCCAGGCTTGTGGTCAACAATAGCTTTTAATATACTGCTGAAGCATAGCACTACAAACCGCGCTCGATTCACCCTTTCTTCCAACCAACTCGTAGTCATTTTACCGTTCTGATCAACATCATGAATTGTTTTGAGCGTAAGCGAGCCTTTGCTAACCGGTTTAAGCCTGCTCATGAAGGACATAAGGTCTCGCATCGCTTTACCCTGGCTATCAGTATTTGAACTGACAACAAAAATTTCATCCTCCACGGGAGCAGGAGTTATAGAGTCAATTTCGATCGGATCGGGGCAACTTGTCGATCGTCGGAACGGCCTTCGTCGGAACGGCCTTCGTCTCCTGAACAGACGTGAAAACCAGCTAGCAGGACAAGCAGGCCAACTTTGTGAGCGTCTATATTCGGCAGCTCTTTGTTGTCGCTGTTCGCGTACCACGATTTGCGATGGGTTATTTTCAATCTTCGAAGTTTCCTCGCCTGAATTTGCAACAACACACTGGAGAAGTTTTTCTTGCTCTTTGTTGTAGGATTCCTGCTCGCAGTCTTCGAGAAAATTCAACAATTCGTCACATGCTGAATACACTTTGCATTCGAGCATTGTTGCAATTAAAATATCGAATGTCTTTTCTCCATCACTTTGAGACACCCACGTTGTAAGCAAACGTCTAGCTGGATCACCACTGTCCGCTAAAATATCAACTTCGATATTCGTCAAAGGTGGTTTTACTAGTTTTCCAGCTAATCCCCTCCAATTTCGCTCGAGACAAGAATCGCCGTTCAGTTCGTTAAAAAATTTGATCAGGCGGCAATCAACAAGCTTATCTACCGTCACGCGATCTGAAAGAATTCCATCTGAAAATCCCTCTTTTCGTTGCAAAATTACTTCGGAATAGTCCTCTGTAACGTACATGACTATCGTATGCCAGGAGAAGAGAGAGACTGCCTTCTAAATGCACGAAATTCAATCACAAAGTGTTTGAACTTTCAAAGCATGCATGCAGTATGACGCGAAGACACAACAACTGTCTTTGATCCAAACCACACGTCTGTCAACTTATTTATTATGTGCGTCACACATGCCACAGCGAACCCAGGCGCTGCACAATTTCTTCTTGGGCCGGAAGACGAAAGATTTTATCGATGACGTTGGTAAAAAGTTTTTCACCATCAGGCGATGAGACGTCGGTTTTTCGGCTCTAATTCTAACCGTGAAATCCATTATTAACAATTCCGTAGCGTGCAGTAGTCTTCAATGACTAGTTATGATAATATAATGATTATTGTCGCGTACGTGCTAATGATAAATTTTTCACAATTTTTTATTGATTTATTATTCATTCACCATGGTTGTGATTGTTATTGATTAGCCGATGGTGGAGTTTGTTTTATATCGTCATAAACAACTCCTTAGCAACGCACTGGTATGCTTAGCAACGGGCAAGAACGGTAGATGTACGTGCATCGGCTATTTGTGACCAGCTTAAACAATTCAAGGCCAAAACTGATTCCCACGTGAATGTTTCGATTCAATCCCGCTTTTAGAGTTGAATATCCTCTGTCCTAGAAACTTGCTAACGAACTCAGACATCGTTATTCAGATATTTTTCCGTGAAAAAGCATCTTTAGGTGCAACTAATTCAAGAAATATTGCTGAACAAACGAAAAAGCAGACAGCAGAAAGGCTTATTCTGGGAATACGTGAATATTGTCAGTGACTATACAATATCTCCCCAACTCCAATTTCTAGTATATTTTCATATAAAAAATCAGAACTTTATCTCTTGACTAGATATATTTGCTGTCACACCCCACAAGGCCACAAATTTTAGATTCACATGGACAAAATATATCTGCGTCATATACTGGCAATTTAGATAGAGAGTTCAGAGTTGACCCGTTAAATCGGGCCTAGTACAATGCACATGAGCAATCAGAGAAAACTAAATACTCCACATATTTCAATTCCTGTTGTTTTTGCTTGTTACTCAGTTAAAATAGTTTTCGATTTGAATTTCAATTTACTAAATTTCATAGTCCTTAATTAATTTTACCCCAGGCGTACCGCATACGTGCGAGACCAGACATTGGTGCGTAGGGGATCATGAGTCGGAACTTCTTCAGATCACTTACTGATTTAGTCGGCAGTGTAAGCCCTTTTCACGATGACGAATATCCGCTATTTTGGGGTTCCTTTTTAACGGATTTATTAACTAATTATAAGTACTTATAACATCATGAAAAGCTATTTTTTAAAATCGCTGGGCCCTTTACGAGGAAGCATTTTCAACACAGCGGAAAGTCTTTACGCTTTTTTTCAGTTTTACTATAAATTTTGGGTTTCTCTTTTCGGCTGTATCGATTGGTAATTTGGTATTCTATGGACTGTTCATCCGTTAACCATTGAGATCAGTGTTAAACTTGGCACGCAAAGACTCATGGTATTGCAAAGTATTATTTCCCAGAATGCATTGCCATCACCTTCCTCTTTGACCAGATTTCAAAATGGTGAGTCGGACACGTGAAATAAAATTTGCCCCTAAATTCGCCGTTTTTAACAGCAAATACGCAAGCACAAATGGGTTTACTTCACCCCTGCCAATGTTTTATGTTTTATCTGTAGGTTTACAATCGTTTTGTCGAGATCGGGCGCATTGCGCTGGTAAATTCGGGCCCTGAAGAAGGAAGGCTATGTGTTATCATGGACATTGTCGATCAAAATCGGGTTCGTAGTTTGTTTTGTATCGGTTCTTTTGAGAGACAATTCCTTTTGAAGACAAAACGGCGCTCTTTCTTCGAGTTGAATAAGTCATCTGTCGATTATTTTAGTAGTATGATACATCGTATAGTTCGGTTAACTGTAATCTGTGCTGTTTGAAATTTGAAAAGAAGTATTTGGATTTGGAATGTTCGGGCACTATTCGCTTTTGTCGTGTGTAAAATGCAGTCGAACAGACATTAACGTTGAGAAACTTGTACTTGTACTAAAATAGACAAAAGCTCTTCTCAATGTTTTGACCTGAATGCCTTCATCAGGAAAATTGGTATAGAATAGAATACTGAGACCATACAGCCAAAGGGATTTAGCTGGAAACATTGAGTTTTGTTTTTGCATGGTTTCATTATTGTGATCACTGTTGACCGTGGTCTTGAGACAAGTGTATTGCAATAGATCTATGGTCCATCTCTTGTGTAGACCAAACTATTGCTATGGATAGTTGTGATCACACTGTAGGCCTGTTAAAATGGGCTTTTATAGTGTCTCAGCCTTGCCAATGTGCGTTTACCCTAGATTTCTTATATGGTGAAGACAAAAAGTCTAACATGCAAATTATCCAATGTATTGCAAGACATTTCATTAGGCAGATCTCAGCCACATTGGAAGCTAATATAGGAATTATAACTAAATAGTTCTTAACAATGATAAATTTGTATCGCACTAGGTGAGGTGCTAAAAATTGTGTCTAACGTTTCCAATACTCCTATTTCAGGCGTTGGTTGATGGCCCTTCTACAAATGTTTCAAGGCAGGCACTGGCCTTCAAACACATGTCTCTTACTGATCTGAAGATTAAAATACCTCGAGGTGCCCGCAGTGGCGTCGTGAAAAAAGTCTTCGCCAGTGAGAATGTGTCAGAAAAGTGGGAAAAGACGGCCTGGGCCAAGAAGTTGGCTGCAAGGAAAAAGAAGGCGTCAATGACAGATTTTGATAGGTTCAAGTTGAAATTGGCCAAGCAAAGGGTAAGAAGTTCTTTTGTGATTGTTGTGTTGAAGTATTGTTTGAAATATTCAGTAGTAAATCATCACAATTCAGTCCAGGATGAATGAACGTCTATAGACCAAGAACAGCAAAAAATAACTACCTACTAGCATTAAGACCAAGAACAGCAAAAAATAACTACCTACTAGCATTAAGACCAAGAACAGCGAAAACAATTAAATATCTACCAGCGTTGTTATAAACTCAGGACCTGATTAATTTAGGACCTTGTACAAACTGAGGCCCTATTAAATTGTGTGATATAATCATTTCCATCAATTTTTCAACTTATTTTTGCATTATCCAGTGTATAACTATTATATCAGATCAGTGGATTGACATTACTGTTTGCCAATATAAGTTATCAAGGAGTCCTTAGAAAATATTCAAGCTATGAAATACTATGAAATACTATTTTATTGTCAATTCTGAGAGTTAGGTTTGTTTTTCAACAATCAAGTGAAGTTCTCTATTTATTTCTTAGAAATCAAGAATCTTGAAAGCTGAGGTAAAGAAGTTGAAACAAGAATCTAAATAAACCTGTTATTTCCTGGAAAATAAAATTGATAACACTTGATGAGCTTGTCTTCCTTTTTTATTTTTCTCAAATTTGCGGACATGATGAAAATTTTTATGACAATATACTTTCCTTGCATAGTTGCAACTGGAAAGAAACAGTTTGCAATCATCACCATTGCCTTATTTCCAAATATATTTCCAGCAATTCTGTTTTTATTTGCAATTTAAGTGGCTTCCACAAATTCCATAATTTTCCCATAAATCCCTTCGCGCCCATCCTTCGTTGTGTGTTAAACGAGTTTTCGCTAATTGCTAAATTACCATAAAACTTCACGTAAAGGGTATAAAACGCATCTAGACTGTCCAATGACGAGTCGCGAACATTTTCCATTACTGCTTCTAAAGATTAGGCAATGTTTGAGAGTGTTAATTTGCCTGGGGGGCGTCACCGAGGAAAAATTTCTCCTCGACCGAAACAGAATATTTTAATGTCGCTCCTCGGAGATACATGCAGTCAAAACATTGCATTTGAGATGTCACAGGTAACTTTCAGCTAAGCTGCTAACTGGATATTGTACCTGCAGACAATGTTCATATTCGTATTGTGTTAGCAACTGTGACCAATATATCCAGTAACATAGACAGTTACGGAGAGGTCTTTGAGTCATACCACGAGATGATAAGGACTTCGAATGAAAAAAAAACCTGAAGATACGCCCATTTCCTCAGGTGATTATTTTAAGCGAGTTATAATTGACGTCAAGAGTGAATATGCAAAACCTGTTTCTGGTTGCTTCGCTACGATAAATTGCTACACCTGTTAAAGAAGTGTTTACCGGCGTGGAGCTTCATTCTTCTCGATCGCAAGTGCCTTAAACTTCGAACTGAAATAAGTTTAATGCTCGACAGTTGCATCCATATATTTCGACAGTGTTAAGATCTTTCATCACCGGCTGAACTTGTATGTCTTCCTGAGGTTGAACTGATAGCTTGGATTGGTCGCATTTGCAAGCCAACGACTTCAGTGACAATGGTACGTGAAATGAATGCATTTTATTGTTTCGTTAGCCATTATCAATTGGCATTAATGTTTCACTGCGCGCTGATTCACTTCATCCAGAGGCTGAGTAAATGTTCTTGGGTCTTGCAGTGGCGTCCTGAGCTATAAGGGAGGGGTAACACCCTCCTACTTTTTTAATTAACAGTCGGTAAATTAATAAAAAGGCAGTGTTTACATGAGCCCGGTTACCCGAGATTCAACAAAGCCTGATTTAAGGTTTTAAAACAAGTTATGTTCAACTAAGAAAAATATGTTGGATTTGTTGTCGGATTTTTTCCCATGCATCTTCTGAAGGCTGAAGCCAGCGAGCATTATCATTTTACCATGTTTCGTTAGCAAACTTTTTTGGTAAACTCTCAGACCCAAAAATCACCCGCTTAATGCTTTCGACGCCTCTTGAATCTTAGCCACCATTGCAGATTTCCTAACCGCACGATATGTGAAATGGAAACTGATATATTCCCAAACAATTCAGCTTACATCCCACCTCGTTTTTCGGTCCCACCCCAGCCAAGTGCTAGTTGTGTCCGAGTGCCAGATATGGCGGTGATGATGTACATGCACTGCGATAATCGTGACCGCTCGCAATATTGAAACTGATCGGCGGTTGGCGAGTTCCTTTTTTGTCGACGGTCAAGAGACAATTGATCATTTGACAACTCTGGGAAAAATTATCAGTTTGCAACAGCTGGAAAAGCTGCTATATAAACGTAGACCAGAGTATGTTCTAGTATTCTGGTTTCGTTTGGTCTGTGGCAGTTGTTTGAAAGGTTGGGCGTCCGTTTTTGCTAACAAAATCAATATACATTAATGGTTCAAATCTATAAATGCTGATCCATAGTGTCACATATTGATGGACTGATACCCTGAAGCTTTTCACGCTATGGAATATATTATTGATATCGATAGTGCGGTTATTAGTTTACTCAACATGTTAATACGTGCATTGGCGTGCACCAGAAATAGAATATAATATATACTATAGGATGCAACACCTTGCGATATCCAATTAGAACCTTCTTAAACATAAATGCACGCGATTTTCGCCCGTGCGATTCGATTTTTCCAAATAGGAAACACAAGGTGTATCACGCGAATATTTAAGGCGACAGGGCCAGGACCGATTAAACTAGATTTCGTGTTTGAAAGTGATTCAGTTCGAGCAGACCGCCAGTCAAGATATTTATGCCGGGGATCGTGAAGTGGGGCACTAATGATTTTATTCATATAGTTAATAGAGCAAACTAAAAGTTACAATTACAATTCTCTTCAGGGGGCAAGTATACCTGCTACCCCCGCCTGTCTATTACGCCCTACGGTTTAAAAGTAAAAAACGGCGTACAACGTACGGGAATTTAAGCATCAGCCCGTACTTGTCTACCAAGAAATAGAGTGCGAGTCGGCAATACGTTTTTTCACGGGGTCTCGCAGTTAGCTTGTTGAAAAATATAGTTTCACAGGCATTCGGGTGGCATTAACTGAGGCGTAGTTATAAGCTTAAAGTTTTGACACCAGCAGCAAACCCCCAACACTTTCTAAGCGGATGAAGATCAAGATTATAACTGGTTTTAAGAGTTGAAACTATTTTAGGCGAGGATTATTCACATGATGGATTCCTTTGAACTGTTTTGTTTTGTCTCTTGAATCTTTACAAGAGAAATATTTTCTTTTCCGGAAACACGAAACGATCAGACGGGCCTAAAAGACAGAGTAATTAGGGAACAATTCACTGATTGAACTATATCGATGACATTGAGGACGTTTGTAAATTCAAAAACAATTTTTTACGACATTAATCTTCTCAAATTCCGACCGCCCATCAAGCAGGCTGTTTATTCACATCACAGATAACTTCAAAGTCAAAAACTGGCAAAAATTTGATGCACCTTTAAAGCCTGCTTGCGTGCATGGAAACATCACGCTTGCAAAAGGTATAATCGTATATTTCGTGTATGAAAGATGCTGTTTGAAGTATGAAAGGCCGTAAATAGAACTGAAAATTAGATACGTCTTCTAAACTTCTAATAATACACAAAATTAACACTTCTTTATGTCAATGCTGGCTGTAATTCGTAGCTATTTTACAAATTGGATGAACCCCGTAGTGCTGTGAACAGTTCACGAAAATTTCTTCACCCCAAGTTACATTTAGGATCGGTAAAGCAAATCTGGAATGTAGGAAAATTTGTTTTGATCGCAGCAATTTAAAAATGTCTAAGCTATGATTCCTATTGGCCATTGCTATTTCCTCAAAATCGAGAACAATGAACACGGAGAGACTGTATGCAGTTTACGTACGTTCATTATAGCTAGAGCGGTCTTCTGCCTTAAGTGACCTGATGAAAGTTTGTTTACCATACCAGAAACGTGATTCATGTCACCGAAGTCTAGAACATTCGGGACGCTCTGCCTGATCTTCAGACTTGCACGCATCATGCATCGAAAAAAACCCAGCAATTAGATAGGTTGTCTTGTTTGAAAAAAAACGCAGCAAGCCGACAATTTTGATCTGCACTATCTTCAGTTGACGTTTTTGAAACCACGATTGGTTACAAAACACTTTTTTATAGGATTTGACACGCTTTCAGCCCAAAACCTGAGCCAGATTACCCGACTAAATTTATGTCCCACCACTATATTCAGTGACAGAGTTTAAAACTTAGAGTATAACTAACGTGTAGAGCCCAAACTGTCATAGAGCCTTTGTCACTTTGACGCGGTATGAATGAGGTCTTATATACCACATACTAATTCCCTGTATTGTACAACATATATACAAAGTCAAGGTTACTGACTTACTGTTTACATTATTATGAAAGTTCCTCAAAACACAGTTGGAATTTTGCCCATGTATCAATGCATTGTCCCCACAGGCGATATCAAAACAGGGATTATTACACCGAGCTATTGTGTCCAGGCGTTAGTATATATTTTACAAATTCTTTATATCGTGGAATTGACCAACGTAAAATTCCAACTGTGACACATGCAGAAGACACGTTGAAAACGAAAAAGATGAAACACGACAGAAACTCGGAAAGTTTTATTCTTTTACTATTAAGTATATATGCTCAGAGATGAATCCCGAAAATCTAATGTTCATTAAATATTGGATCGAAAGTGTTTTGCTAAGAATGAAAAACTGCATTGACAAGTTCATATATAAAGTGTTTGTTTAAGTAAATTGAAACCTCAAAGAATGAAATATTTGTCTTCGATTCGCAGCCAAATCTGGGTGATCATATTTGAGATGCGTTCAACCGTTTTTGACAGTTTTACAAAAGGACTTTCATCAAATACTTTGTTACTTTGAGTCCAAATATGGAATCGGCGTCGAAACATCAAACACAAAACGATGAAATTAGTGGATTATGCGAGTTTTCTAAGTCGCTTGATTAGGTATTTAAATTTTAATGCGGGGCGTTATAATTACCTTTGTACGCCGCAGAGTTGAAGCGAATTACCAAAGGGCATTTTTTTACTACATTGAGCCGACGGTTTATTGAAGACGTCTTGTGTTGGCTGGGAAAAGCTCAGACGTGCCGGATAAAGTATGTATGGAAGGGTTGGACAAGGGGTTTCCTGTTGGTTCAGTGTCATCAATAAGAGAGGAGGGGAATGGCACGGAAGGGGGGGGGGACAAAACAACAAGCAAGCCTACTAAATGTTGGACAAAAAGTTCAACTCATGCATGCATAAGCGATCATCATAAAGAAAATTTCAATCTTATAAGAAAACGACGCCTAAAGCGACTGTTTGTTATTCAATTGGCGAAATGAAAGCTGTTGTAAGTTGACGAATGTTTTCAAACAAAGGGTTTAACCCCGGCTGTTTGAGCTCGTTTACCTCAAACATAATGACTGAAGTGTGCTATCGTCACGGCCCGATTCACTCATTTTGGCATTCAGAACTCACCTGTCACCGAGAGCATTTGTCGAGTAAATGGCCGCGCTAATTTTGTGATACAAACTGTATCGACATTGAAAATTGAACAATGG